AAACTTCAACAAACTTTTCAACCGTCTGCTAGTTAGTACTTCCTTTGTATCTCGGAGTTATTACATCTTTATTGCAAGTGTTTTATAGTTTGAAGCAATGAAACTCCAATAACTCGCAGAAAAGACAAACATTAATTATTTAAAACAATTATAAAACAACTCTACTTTGATCCTCGACTAAACACGTTTTAACGTTATCGTCCAGAAACTAGTTTCTTTCATCGTGAATACTTTATAAGTGGAAGAACCAAAAGAATGTAAAAGGATATAAACCGTACTCAGTCTGAATCGTACATAATGCGATCCATAAAGTTTCCAAAATACCATAATGTCTATTTAAAATCATAATCTGAAAGCATCAACTTATCATTATACGATCTTTCTTCACGTGGTTGTAAAAATTTAAAGGTTGACGTTTTTTCGATAAAAGTTTCAGAATCGTTTAATGAGTACAGTCATATTATTTTTGAAGAACTATTCGTCCAATTCGCCCGTTCCAATAAAGAATAGTTTGATAATTTCTGTTTCCAGAAGAAAGGAAGAATACTACCTCGACTTTTCAGTAAGAAATCCTCCAATGCTATTAAAGCTATCTATAACAAATCAGCTTCGAGAAATTTCAACACTGGAAGCGAAACTGCCCAAAACGACGCAGAGTTACGCTGTTCTCTCGCATTCGAGGTAATTCAACATGCTCTGAACTTCCGAGTCCCAAATACTGCATTTTTGCAGATGACAAGGTCGAACATGTAGTGTCCGCTAGTTGAAACGAATTCCCGAGTTCTCTTTCCTCGTACAGGTGTCAAGGGAACAATTCGTGAGTCTTCTGGAACGCCATTCCAATTAAAAGTTCCATGACGTTCTATGCTTCTTTTCTGTCAATGCTGTATGTTCCTAAACACACTCGCCGCCTGTGGTTCAAAATCGCCTCGCGAGATCTCGAATACTTGACAAAACGTCGCGTCCCTTTCGACCAAATGAAAATTCGTTCCGCAACGTGCTTTTCGCTTTGCGAGGCTTAGCATTCGACCACCGATACGTGAAACAGCTGAAAATTTATTAAAATAGCTTCCCTTTCGAATTTCCTGCTCATGGAAAGGTGAGATAAGAGAAAAAACCCATGGAATATCGGGCTCCAAGCCTGGTTTATATCCGTTGCATGAATTTTGGGATAGCTTACAAGCGCGAGTGGATGATACTTTGAGAAATAATAGGCAATATATGTAGAATGGTATAATATTTCGAATGTTACGAGATCTGGATTTAAGGCAAGTGACTGGAAACACCGTGTTTTTTTACTTAAAGGATCGTTTCAGCTTTGTGTAATGTGGTTTACTTAGAATGAAGATCTAAATTGTTGTTGCTGCTGTTGAGGATAAGAAGAAGCAGCCATAAAAGATGTTTATATGGTTTGAACACGTGCTTAGTGATGATAAAAAAAAGATTCAAAGTCATCTTAAAAAGTATTCCGGCTTTTGCCTGTATCAGTCTAGTAAACATCAATAAAAATAAATTTTTCACTAGTATTAAAGATAACGAGAAATAAACGAAATGTTCATCTAGCGATGATAAGAAAAAGATTCCTAATGATCATCTTGAAAAATATTCTACAGTGAGAAATGCTATAACAAATACAATGGTGTACCGATACTTTTTATAACTACTGTAAATTAAAATAATAAAAGACAAAACGCCGTGCTCGTAAAGTAACTAAATTTCCATCAAAAGTATCGCGGAAAATAAATACGCAAGTAAACAGAGCGACACGCCACTCGCTGGAGAAATGAAAGATTTATTCGCGAAACGTTATCCAAGAGCAATAAAGTGATGAGTTCATAAGCCAAAGGATCTGGAGGACATGAAAAGAGGGGGGAAGCGGTAGAACTGGAAGAAGGGCGATGGTTTGGTCGATTAATCCAGGTCTGATATATCATGGTCCAGGTTAGTGGTGCGTCTGAGTTATCCTTTTCGCGCGAGCATCCAGCCTGTTCCTCCTAATACCAACCACGATACAGTATACCGTGCGACAGCTATAAAGATGACAAACGGGTTACGACAGGAAAATAACAAGCCGCCGGCCATGATGAGCCTGCAGGATGCTCGGCAAACGATCGCGACGTTTAAAATGGGCATGTCTCGACTTTCGGTCAGGAATCACGACCTCTTTCGTCGCAACGATATGCTGATATCACGGTGTAACTCTCGTGGCTCTTTTATGAGCCCGCCATTTGTGTGTATATTTGTCTGGTTCCCTTTGTGTCAGTCGGGTTTTAACGTAAATCAAGAAGTGTGCCAAACTGTTTTTTACTGCCTCTATATTTCCTCTTTTTCTGTTTCGTTTAGCATTTGCTTTTGACTTTTTGTCTACTGCAGTGAAGGTTCGAGTACGTTGTAGCAAGTTGTTGGTACGTAGGTATTTTGAATTTCATATTTGTCTAATTTTAGACGTGACATATATTTGTTAAAAGACAAGAGAAAACGTCAAATATTGTTTTCCCTCTTTGCCTATTGATGTTCATACATTTTTTAGAGTACTAGCTGCAAATTTATAGACTGCAGTAAATGTTACTTCCTGTGTGGTTATACAAACTATTCCGTTAAAAGCATGTCAGAAAATGAACATCGATTTTGTTGCTTCATTTTTGTAATTTCGGGATTTGGAAATGTAATGAAAGATAGATAGTAGGTTCTACGAAAGTTATCTCGCTTATTTAGATCATTTCCTTCGTAGTACTACATTATAGAGATGAGAAATTCCTAGTGACTTAGAAGACCTATTATCAAAAAACGCAAAAACTTTCAATACCTAATACCTAATTTTCGATACCTAATTTTCATTCTATACGTCGCAATAAATGTTGTTCTTCCAATAATTATACGAGCGTGTTGGTTATATGCGGTGAATAATTTGGGGAATGGCGGAGATCCATCAAAAAGCACGTCAAAAAGTCGAAAGACACGGAAAAGTGGCCTCAGTGACGCAGTGGCCTGTAATGGAGCAGGCTCGAGTTTAAAGCAAAGCTCTGAAAGCTTTTTTTTCGCGATACCGCATAATAACGGGCGCTCCCGTGGGCTAACGATAAAATAAAAGACGAACTCGTATCTTTGTTATTAAATATGTAACTGTGCTCGAGCGCAGAATGCGCCCGTATTTTTTTAGCAAGCAAAGCATTTGTGGAACGCAAATGCTGTTTTAGGATGCACGTTCGTTTCTTCGAACGTTCCTCGGCCATCGAATTTTATAACCGCGTGAAGATAATTAACAAATATACCTGTCGACTTCAATTTACGGCAATTGTCTCAACTAGATTAAAAAGAATGAATATAATAATTTTTATGTAAATGACAATTATATATACGCTTTTCATTTTATTAGTAAGTATTTTCTGTACTTTTGTACATAAAGCATAAACCTTTATCCTTCAATATTATTAGTATTTTCAACTCTTAAGATTAAAATATCTGCTACGTACAATATAAGATTTTTTATATACGATTGGTAAGAGTGGTTGAAATTAAAATCCTATAATCTCATTACCTGAATACCAGAAGATCCTTTCGTTTTTGTCAAAGGAAAATTATTTCGAAAGCTGCCTGGCCAATTTTCATCTAATGAAGACAAACCTCCCTATTATTTTTTACCCCGACACTTCGCCTCATTGACAGTACGTTCACGATCTCTCGCAACGGTAAATCCATCAATAGGTTAACAAAATTCCAGATCTAACGCTCAATCACTAAAGATACGATCGATTCCCTTTATAAAGGAATTCTTTTCTTCTCTGTGTTTAACGAGATGAAACAGTCTGAAGCGGTATCACGTTCGATGTTTATCAGTCGAAGGATTTCATCAAATGTATTCCTGTCACGTTCTTGTATGCGTTAGACGCTGGACATCCGAGTGCAATGAAGAACGAATAAAACAAATAAGTTTTAAATTTGCACTTCTCTTATTTTAAGACGAAGAATAATAAAGAATCGTAATTTCTACAAGTGAAATATTTTACAGATTATCAAAACCATAAATATCCAGAAAATATTAAAATATAAAGACAAATTATAATAATCTTGTAAAAATTGAAATACTAAAAAACGTTTTAAAATTTTTATAAATTGTATATATTACTATTTTATTTTTAAATATTTTTAGTATACCATTTGTAAGAGGAGAAACTAAATTCAATATTTGTTAAGAATATAAAGATTCTTTTTAAATTTTCGTTGAAAAATAGAAAAATTATCACCATGCATGTGAAATATCTTTATTACCCCCGCTTTAGTTTCGCAATTAATAATTCTCTCATCTACGTACAACATGTCGCACATAGAAGCAAGTCGGTCAATCTTAATATTTGAACAATCGTATTTACCTGAGCTTCAAGATTTGTTTGAGAATCTGCGCTAATAAACCACTTTGTACTCCATACGCCAACCATCTGAATTCAAATTTATACTCGAATTATACCTCGAAATTCCCAAAGCAACTTGCCTAGCTTTCATTCTCCTTTCAAACAATCATCGTATCCTATATTTATCTCCAACTTTTTCCCGATTTCAAATCTCACCACGTGACAATTCTAACTCCAAAATCTTCCTGTCGAAGCACGAAACACTATTGGAAAAAGAAAGATTCCACGTCTTCGTTGATCATTGTCAATTCACTAGAGGAAACGTGCTCTTCAAGTACTAGTTCAATGAATAATGAAACGTTCACCGATCTACTGTCGACATCCCAGCCGTTCCCGCCCCCTTGAGAGCTTCTTAAAACCTAATCTAGTGTTTTCCAACTTTCTCGAATCGCAACCCCTTGTATGTTGACTATAATAATCCGAACAATCTAAGATCTGCACTTTCATGTTGCTACGGATTAAAATTTTAGGACCTAGTCAATCGAACATTGTCTAACAAGTTATACTGCCAGAAGTTCATTCGGAACAGGCAACAAGATAGACATTCTACAGGGGCACTAGATGATTTACCGATGTTTAAAGTCACATTACCTGAGATCGTTGCCCCTGCCTCTTCTCATTCCTCGCGACGAATGCCGTGGCGGTGGACTGCACCTGCAGTCACAGTGCATCACACACAGAGCGACGCTGGTCGCGAGAGTCACTACGAAAGGCGCCGCGAAGAAGTGTATGATGGTGGTGACCTGCGCCTCACGGTTATAGTTCGCCATCACTATGCTGCCGTTCACGCGGCTGTAATGGCAGGGGAATTTCGCGCCTTCGTAGCCTAGTTCGCGGGTGAAGTTTTCGCAGTCGACGATCGGCGGATAGCCGCACCCCTTGATGTTCACCAGGAGCACTGCCTCCACGTCGCCTGGCGTCGGCACTGTTAAAAAACAAAATTTCAAATTATATTAGAATAGATTACAATTTGCAGTTCCACCTTTGTTTTTTAATCCTATTATGATCTTTTTTCATCCCTCGTTCCTACATTTAACCTATTCACAGAGACAGCGGCTGTGTATATTCTCTGAACTCCAATATTGGATATATGGCAGTTTCTGTACATTTTTACTAGGTGCGTAGAAAAGTATGTAGACAAATATGTGAAAAATTATATACTAATGTAATAAATTACCGATGAAATTTCTGTTATCGATCCCTTCCTGATTTTCGACGAAATCGAATTTCAACAAAAAATTAATCTAGACACGGTTGAGTGATATAGACCAGAACGCAATAGAAGGGTTAATAAAGGGATCTTCTTCGAGAAGAAAAACATTACAAGTCAAACTGCATGGTTATGTCACTCATACACATCTTCGAAAAGGTATAAAAAGCTTTGAGAAATTGTTTGAAGCATTATTCTGGGTAAAAATGGTGTATAAACGCAAGTAATGTTATTCCCAGTCAGTTACATGGTTATGATACTTTTAAAGTTTTATTGTTGCTATAGCGGAATTTCTAGTCTTGTATGAAATGGCTTCTAAAACATACGAAGCAAAAGACAGATTTTAAGGATTTGCCACAGGATCGAAATAGAAATAGAAGCAATATTTTATATCCTTCCGTTTAGTTTCAATTTCTTCAATGTAATTTTATAAAATTCTAAACTCTTATAACTGTATAAATATCATTTTGCAAAATGCCTTTCTAAGTTGCTATTAAGGCGAAGAACAATTAGAACCTTCTTATGAAAAATTGAGATTTTTCAAACCAAAATGATTCGAAACGAATCGAAATTCTAAATTTAAAATTATAGATGTAATTATCTCTATGAATATATATCTAATAGCATTAAAAGAATTAAAAATATTGCTTAGAAAATTTTTAAGTATTTTTTAACGTTCATTCATTCATTACGAAAACAATTACGTGTTTTTATAATAAATATTTTAACAAATTAATATATAAAACATAAATTTATACTTATAATTTTCCAATGAATACACTGATTCTAAAAATTGTACAGTACCCTCGTGATTGCTTTGCAAAGAATTGCTGGAAGTAAACTAACCTTATAATCGTAATGTAATACGCTGATTTACCTCAATAATAGAATCTATTTAATAGAAAACTTTCAATGCTGTCATGATACAACGCAAGTCAATGAAATAGAAAACTTTCAATGCTGCTATGATACAAAGCAAGTCAATGAATTAGAAAATAGGGGAACCTAGACAAAACCAAGATCATTCTAGACAATGTACAACGTACAGTAATAAGTTTTCTGCCGACTCAGCGAAACGATATCGATAATATCGGCCTTGTGATGCGGTCGAATTAAAGAGGTGCGAAGTTGCAAGGTTAACGACAAACACAGACACCAAACATCGACTATGGATTTTTATGATGTAAATTTCATGCGTCTTATACGGGATGGTTGGTAACTGGTGGTACAAGCGGAAAGGGGGTGATTCTATGCGAAAAAAGAAGTCGAAAATATAGAATAAAAATTTTTCGTTCGAGGCTTTGTTTTAGAGAAAATCGACTTTGAATTTTCGCTCGGTACGCGTGCGGTATGTTATAACGGATCTCACTGTAGATCGTTGTCTCAATGGAAAAATTAAAAAAAAAAAATTTTTTTTAATTTTTATTCTATATTTTCGACGTCTTTTTTCGCGTAGAATCATCCCCTTTCCGCTTGTACCACCAGTTACTAACCACCCTGTATATTTATATATAAGATATATTTAATATTAATTATGAATATATTTATGAACGCCAAGAAGTGGGATGAAAGTAAGAACAAACTTTATTAACAGTTTAACAAAAATAATTATATAAAAGAAATACTCGAATGATAATAAAAAGCTAGGATCCTTCTATAGTATTAGTTGTTCAGAAACTTGTGTAAGTTCAAATAAAAATCAAACTCAACTGATGAAATCGAAAATAAATCTAAAACGACATAGATAAGCACCGCTACCTGCACAATTAAATAGAGATGCACGCTTCGTCATATGTATCAATGATCAAAACAGTATTTAATTACTTCGTCAAAACATTCTGTCACCATTTCTCCACTACAGTCCCAAATTACACGAATCCAACAACAAGTAGATGCTCTAAACTGTGAAGATAGAACTACTCTCCATAAGTCTGCAATATGAGAGTTTCTTACCCGAAGTGGTTGAGGTGTGCGTGACGCCGGTAGAGTTCTCCGAATTGCCTCTACCCCCGGTGTCATTCTTCATGCTCGTATTGCTCCATGGTGTATACGTGACGTATATATGCGTACACCTATAAACGTCACTGGTGCATCCTTCGCGGCAGGAACTCCAGGTACAATTGAACAAGCCAGCGAGTTCTTCGCGCCTGGAGGTGGTGCAGATGACCGGATCTGGCGAGAAATCGGCAGCCAGAGTGCTGATGGCCGGATCGACGTATAGCGGCACCAAAAATAATAGGGCCGCACCGCCGGACGTCGCGACGAATGCCAACGCCGAGGTGGCGTAAAAGTTGAACCGCTGACGGCAGGTACGCCGTGGCGGTC